GATCGTATACGATTTAATTCTACAGTTAATCAGAAATGAAAAAAAAACACATTAGTGGTAAAATCAAAAACTAATTAATACCCTGTTTGATGCACATTATTCTCCCAAGAACGCATTTTAAATAGTGATTTGATGGAAAATATGTAGTTAAAAAATAAGGGAAAATTTTAAATTTGCGTATAATATTATTTTATTGAAAAATGTATGATTGAAAATAAAAGAGAAAAATATATATATTTAGAAGAATGAGTATCAAACATGAAGTAAAGTTTGATCATTTAACTAGATCTATAGTGGAATAAAGTTCTAACAAGCAATTGTAGAATTGTTCTGCTCATTACTGTTGGAAATTCTTGGAGAAATTGATAGGTGTTGAAATTTTACAATGTCCACAGAATCAATTATGTACTCGAAACTGTATAATTTATTGATATTCAATAGACAGTTGTTAACGTCTAGGGTAATGTGAATTAAATTTTTACGATACAGAAAATTGACATTGTAAGTCTCTTATTTATGTCAATTTTTAATAAAAAAAAAGGTCGTGCTTCCATTTTTGTTACTTTTTTTGAATTTTTGTCACTTTTTTTAGTGCTCATCACTTTTTTGAAATTTTTAACACTTTAAGTAACAAACATCAAATAAAAAAAAAGTGACTTAATTTTAAAAAATGGCATAGCAACACTTCTCATAAAAAAAAGTGACATGTGTCACTTAATTGCACAATACTTTTTACTTCTTTTTTCTTTTTATCATTTTCTTGAAATTTATTACTTTTTTGAGTGACAAATGTCACTTTTTAATCACTTTTTTATATAAAAAAAAAAGTGACGAGTAATTTTACACAATATTTTTTATTTTCAGGATATTTTTCATATGATTTTTCAAAATGCCCATAATTTTAGGGGTATTTTTGTAAGTTGCCAATTTTACATTTATCGGTCAGTGAACCAATCATCCGACCCACTTGAATTATAAGTTGGTTCGCGGGTCATTTTTCCAGACAAGTCTATTGATTGCGACGGTTTTGACACCACTAATGTCAGAAATTGATGAAAGGTAGTTGAACAGAGTGAGATTACTACCACACGGGTAAGAAAATAGTAGCATCGTTAGACTCAAATAGTAGACCCGTGTCACACGTCAATATTGCAAATTGGGCAATTCCAACCTACAATATTTTAATTTTTCCGTCTTTCGAAAATTTAATACCGTATAAAATTAGACTTAGACAATTAATATGTCATTAATGTGTTTACACTTTACATATTACATCTTGATGTTGTTTGTGAAAGATAAACAACAATTAGTGCTAATAGATTCATCTTGTTTACATATATTCCAAGATTCTAAGTAAGTTAGCATGAGAGTGTGTAAAAAATATAGAAGAGAAAGTTACATTATAGCCACAACAGGTCTTCTAATTTCATCTTATGTTTTATTTTTTAATTAATCAATCTAGCTACGATTATTTTCATGGATCATTGGGCAAAACCAAGCCCAGCACGACCCATTCATTATGGTGTATCAACCCATTAATTAGCATAAATTGAGTCAAGTTAGTCTTGATTTATTTTGTAAACCATGTCCGTCTAACCCATTTTAACCCTGCTAAGTTTCATACAGAAATGTCATACTAGTTTAATTTCTTTTTTTTATTTATTTACTTTTGTTTTACATGATTTTATTTATGTAAAATGTAAAATAATCATCAAGTCATTAGTCCATTTTTACTTTATTGGAGGCTGCTAATTAATTAAAGGTCGAAGTTGGATTCGTTAAAAAAAGGTTTGGAACAAGATTTCAAATATGTCAAGTTCCTTTTTTCCAATTAAAAGAAGAGAAATATTTCTCTCTCAAATAACTATTTCCCCTCTTGCTCCAAGTTTGAGCATCGAAACTAGAGTTTAGGAGGTAAAAATCCTAGTTAGGTGAGAAAATTTATTGATCAGGTTTTTACTATCAATAAATTGTCGCCGTCTATGAGAAATCTTGAACGAAATACACCATGAAATTCCCTATAGTGGTTAAGAAATCCTTGAAGATCTAAAAGGTTCAAACCAAATGGAAACAGATCTGGAAATGATAAAAGCTTTAAAGGTTGAAACGGAGAAGTCTAGCATTGATTCAACCAACAGTGATATCAACTCCAAAAGAAAGCAGGATGGAGTACCGACAAAGTTCCAGGCCAACGTTTTTCTTGGCCAATGCCATCGCCAGTAGAAAAAGACGTACACTGTAAGAGATGTACAAGAAAAAGAAATTGCGGAAATCCTCAAAGCAATAGCAGTAGAAAACATATATCTATGTGCAAAATATGAAGGTCCAGAGGCGAGGCAAAAATACGAGGGCGGCAAGGGAATACAAACACCAGGTGCTAAACCTTTCCCAAAAATGATGGTAACTTGCAAACACCACTGACTAGCGAGTCCATGCCCAAAAAAAATCAAAAATCCTACTTGAACATAATTTTTATCCATAAGGGTTGACATAATATTCACATGGGGTGGGACCCATGTTGTGGGACCCACAAACCCCATATGAGTATTATGTCACCCATTACCCCTAGCACATTTCCAAAAAAATAGTGAATAAAACAAATATGCACGACTAGAGGCATAACCATATGAATGACCGGAGAGTAGAAAATCGCAATCCCTGTGTTATTGATCCAGACAAAGAATTCAAAGGCCAATTGGTGACAAAGAGATACAACGAGAATGAAGATCTAAGGATGAAAAACAAGCAATCATAAGAACGTTCAATAAAAGCACAATGACCTGGTACTGACCACAAGACTAGCTAATGTGAAGCAAAAAGTAGGATAATTCCTCAAAAGTTACTTCACATGTTTCAAAGTTGAAATGATCGCAGGTGAAGCTATACCAAATGAAGACGCGAGAGATGGCTTGTTGGAGAGGACTCTTGCTTGGCGAGAGGTCATTAAAAGGTATCCAAGTTCCTTAAACCAATTATTGGATCTAATTTGCAATGAGATTCAGGTAAATGATATCATCGAGAACAAAAGGAGGTAGAAGCAAAGACATCAGAAAGAATTCAAAAGAGAATCATACACATTCGCATTTGGATAGCCTAAATTACAATATCCTCACTTGGATGGGCCCAAGGGTTGAAAGAATATGTTATCCGCCACATTTTCCCAAGACATAGACAAATGTCACAAATCATACCTAGAATTAAAATTCTATAAAGTCCATCGCACCAGAGGCCATGATATAGATGAGTGTTTCGAAGTACTTAAAATGGCCAGAATGTGATGCAGGTAAATGAAAAACCTACTTGCCAATAAGATAATTTCGCGAGTACTCAGGAAAGCATAAATGACGAAACAGTCATAGAATGCCGAACCTTAAAACTAGGTCGTAGAGATGAAAATTGAAGTAGAAGGTGGGGTCCATCAAGGCAATTTGTGATTATATTCGAGCCACTTCCGTGAAATTCGAAGTTAAGGTATGAACAAAACTCTAAAAGCCAAGAAGAGGCTTATTTTGCCAAAGAAATGCAGGGACTAATTGTCATCCCAAGGAAATGAATCGCCAAAGGCTAGACCATGTTTGCCTATGTAATCAATGTCATGACATATTTTTATTGCGCGAAACACCGGTGTAATGAGAAATTAGGTTCCTTTTATTTTGACACTCCAGAAAGATTAATGGAATTTCGTGTTATATTGCTAAAATGAAACTGCTATAAGTGCATTTACGCAAATAAAAGCACAACAGTGTGAACTTTGAAATCACAAAGCAAACAAATATATGCAAAATGGCGACAAAATTGTATTAATAAATAATTGAACAATATTTTAGAAAAAAAAGGAATGAAAGCTTGCCAAATATACCAAATATTAAAGGCTTGCAATGGATGGATCATCTTGAACTTCGCCCTTCAAGGGTATCGTCACTTTGGAAGAAGTAAGAACAGAAATATCGAGAGAATTGCATCCATGGGTCCACTATGAGAGAGAACTTGAAATCCAACAAATTGAGAAAGATAGATAGGAACATACAGAATATCCAAAGTCCCATAGGCCAATAGATAAACTCAAAAGATGGAGTGTCTTCGACATCATCTTCATGAGCCTCCAAAAAGTCCATGTTCCATTCAGGGTGAAAATTTCTAATCATATCAACTATCAAGCACTTTATTTTCCCCTTCTTGCATAGCATCCTCAACCAGCCGCGCTTTGCATGCAGCAGCCTCTTAGAGATTAGATTCCGCAATGGATATTCTTGTCTTGTTACTGATTTACCTTGAAGCAAAACTATTTCATTCCTAACAAAATCAAGTTCCTTAAAAGCAGCATCCCGCTTATACATAGTGGAGTGGAACTCCCTCCCAAGGCGTGAAACATTGCATTCAGTCCTTGTGACACAAGCAACATGATTGACCATGGTTAATTCTAGGTCCGAAGAGATATTCTTGGCTTTAGCCACCAAAGAAGCTTCATTCACAACAAACGCTTCAACATTTTTCTCGTTTCCTTATACTTGGTTCCCTCTTTCTCAACTTCCCTCAATTTCTTCCGAAGAATGCCACTCTTTCTCCAAAAAATTAGCTTTGTTATCGAGGCTACCTCACCTAATTGCTTGGCAAAAGGCAAGCCTCGTAATCCAACTATCGGTTCTGAAACAGAACAACAGTTCGCTGCAGGTGGGCATCAATCATTTTTCCCCTCTCTGTAGGGGTAGACTCCTCTGAAAGTTTTTCCCAAAATTGATTAAAATAAGCATAAATGGACTTTACAGCTCAAGAAATGAAAGGAGGAAATACTGACAAAACCTCATTATCCAATTCGTCATTGAGGGGAGGGGGATGAACAAAGACTTATAGCTTGGGGAAAAACTCCCGGAAGAATAAGAAACCTTGGGATCCTTGATTGGCCCCAGACCTACCTAAATTTTTCTCTTTCCTTTAGGATCCCTAGCTAGGATCGGCGAAGGATGAGGCATGAATTCCATAGGTAAAGATACCGTCTCTACCTATGTTTTATCTTTTTGAGGATCAACAAACTCCGCTACCAACAAACGTTCCCCATTTGAAGGCCACTGGAGATCGTATACTGCATTACGAGTTTCTACAGCTTCTTCAACGAAAGAATACGAAACATAACGATGGGTTTTGATGTGATCCATCCAGAAATTGGTGATTGTGCCCTTTTTTCCAAGGAGTTCTTGAACCGCTTTCAAAGTAAAAGGGCGCAAAAAATAATCATTTCTGATAGTAGTAGTGTGAGGCTTTGCTGATGGTGGAACCACACGCTCCTTCGGCATTTTCTCACTCACTGTAGAGTCAAATCTAGAGAAGCTGAGCTTGAAAGCAGGCTTTAATGGATCCATAGGTGTGATAGAACCCACTATATTACCACCTTGTGGTTCAAGAACCTTGAGAGCTTCTGAGTTTCACTTGTGCTGCCTCCTTAGAATGTCATTGTTTCCAACTGTTGCTCCCTGATCAATAGATTTTCTTTTAACGGATGTCGGAGTAGATTCATTCTTGCTTCAAGCATTGAAAACTAAAGGCCCGACTATTTTATCATCATCAGCAACCTCAACATAATCTTTCTCGTTCACAACATGCATTTCAGGTTTCTCACCTCTCTTTTTCATTTCATCAAAGTTAGACTTAGAATTCATCAGTTTACTCTCCAATATATCCTCCTCTTTCATAGTGGGAATTTCAGCTTTATCACCTTTCTCTCTTATTTCATCACAATTAGATCTAAAATACATCTGTTTACTCTCCAATACATCATCTTCCATGGAATCATCACCATCATCAGTGACAACATAGCCGGATAATGATTGCACCATTTCAGGCTTATGTTCTAGGACTTTGACATCGTTAGCAACTACGGCGACCTTTAATTCATTTTTCTCAGTAATGGAGACAGATTCAGCAGAAACAGAATCAGAAATTACTTGAACCCTTAACTCAGATTTGACATCAGATACCTGATAATTTATATAAGCCGAGTTGATCTTTGCATCCATGTGAAGAGACTTCGAGCCATCATTTTCAAGCTGCATCTCTGACTTCCTGAATTCAGTTGAGATTTCACAATTTTGAGCATTTGAACCACCCAAAGGTATCACCGACATACTACTTTCACTAACCTCAAACACCTTTCTATTTGAATCAGACAGGTTCAGCTTAGCATCCTATTGAGAGGACTTAAAGAGTCATCATCAGCCATCTGTTCAGTGATTCTCCATTCCCGTTCTTGGTTTCTATGTAATGGTTGGATTGATATTTAGAGATGGATTTTTCACCTGCTCCATCACTAATATTGAACTCATGTTGTCCCTCTTTGGAGGCTGATTGATCCTCAATCATTTTAGTCAATATTGAAATCATCCACTCATGAATCCTATTAAATTCTTCCCTTATGATATCCAATCGAGAGACAGGCAAGGATTTTAGCTGTTCTGATACCATTTGTAATGGTTGGAGCTCAACTTCAACCAAAACCAGATAAAATGCAATTCAAATCAACACAGTAATGGATCATTTCAGCTGGGAATCAATAACCCAAGCTGGAAATCCATCAATTGAACTGAAAATTACACAAAAATGACAAATAATAACAGAAAACAGAGAACGGATAGAATTAGAGGAGGAAGAAGAGAAGCAGATAGATGTCTACAGACAGACAGACAGGTAAGGGGGGAAATTCTGGTGCAAGCTTACAATTTTCCAAATCTGTTTTTCATCCTCCCCATGTGCTGATTTTGTAGATTCACAGAACGTTCTCTAATGTAGAGTAATGACACAATGTGTCTGCATAATATCAATAGAGACAAAAGTAAGGATTGGAAAAAAAGAACGAGCAGCGGACATAGATTTTATCGTGGGAGCCTAGGTCTTTCGTCTACCACAATTTCTTGATGAGTTAATTATTGAACAAATTTTCTTCCTATAGATTCAACTACTCTTTTTTTGTCTGCATTTTAGGAAATGTTCCTATTTCACACGTTGCGATTTCATGTTGTTTTTCACAAATTCTAATAATCTGATTAGTTACTAATTTATTGGTAATAGAATAAATTGTTAGTTAATTAACTTATCAGTAATTTTAAGCTTTGCCTTTCTTTTAAAGTATTAGGTAGTTAGTGTTGGAATGGGGATATTTCATCATCACAAAAAGAAAATTAATTTTCCTTTTACGATTCAACCCAAAAGCATGGTGGATCTTACACGTAAAGGATGAGATGATAATCTTGAAGGAACTTTTAGTGGCCTAACCAAATGCTTCCTCCCTTAGATCTTCTCCATTGTGCTCCTTAAGTGCCTCTCTTTACTTTGAGAAAATGAAAAATGGTTAAAACCCTAACCTTCGTAAATATTTATAACACACAATTATGGTTTCACATTTGCACAAATATCCTTGGACTTTATTGTAGTAGACCAATTAAGTCATACACCTTTATTGGAACCAAAAGAGGGACCTAACCAGACTCACAAGACTCAAGCTCCAATATATATTTCTAATTGGGTCAAATCTTGACCAATTGAGATATATCTATCAATTCCGGCTTACTCTACCAAAAAAAAAAGGATTTCACTCTTGAGTCGAGTGAAAGTTATGGAAGCCAATTATGATTCGATAACAATATCCTCCGACTACCATTCCACAAGTCAACCCCCGTTTGACCGCCAATATGTTGAAGTCAACAAAATGACTGTTTTGCCCTTCAACATGTATTTCCCACCAAGTCCCATTTCATAAGGCGAATTCGTTGTGATCACATACAGCACCAAGTCCAACGACCTCATTATTGGACTATTGAGCCCAGGTTCAGTTCCCTTTAGAAAATATCTTAGAGTGATGATCGTCTCATCATGATGATTAATAGATTGCATGTATATGATCTCTAACTGCTTCGTCCAGATTCCCAAAGTGCCGAGATTGATCTTCTAATTTAAGACTTCACTTATTGGTATTTCAAAGAACTTGAACTAGCAATTAAAGGTACATTACTTGTTTAGGATTTATGTAACTTGTTTGATAATCGAGTGGCGTCTAATTTCGAGCGGTTACAAATGAGTCATCTACGTGGTCTTGTTCAATGTGCTTCAAAACATGTTATTGTTCTTATTCCCAGAT